GGGGGGTGGTGGTTGTGTGGTGCGCCGATGGATGGCAACAGTTTTACTGGTCAAATGGACAGAAATATGTATAAAGAGACTATCCGTGCCAGAACTGATCCACCCCGCCTTCCTAAACTGGACGCTACGAACAATAAAATTGGTCTTAATCTACTAATTCCCCCAGCCAACCACAACCGTGAAACTTCTTGTACAAACTAGTATTCTGTGGGCAGCCTCAAGGCGATTTTCCTTTCCTGTTCAGCCAAGGCAGGCAAGGCTTACATTGATATCTACAGCTTGATCTCAAAATGGCAGGAAATATTGATAACATGTAAAAACACTGACCTGAAGTCTGAAGAACACCATGATGATACTGTTGTCTGCCTGTCTGTCTGTCCATGCCAATCATGACACTGTGACAAGTTTTACCTTTGAACGAAAAATGATGCGATGATCAGACAAGGCTGACATAACAAATTAGTGTTTAGAACAGACAGTTAGTATGAAGTACAGAAGCCCATTTTTATTAATTGTATCTTTAGTTTTTAAATTTTAACCAAGAAAAATGCCCAAAAAGACAAGCAGAACGTTGCTGTTGCGTTATCCAAAGGAAAAAAATAACTTTGGGACAGGAAAGAGGAACTTAGACCCACCCAAGTGGACTGAAAGGGTCTGAAGTTCGATACTACACACACCCGACGTTGTTTGGCAGTGCAGCTCAATACGATCTCAAAACACTAGAAAACCGGACGCTCTTACTTTATAGTGGAACAAAATCGCAAGTTTCCAAGCATAAATTAAAACAAGAAAAGACAGAGAGGACTGATTTGGGTCTTTTAACTTGCAACATTTGACCACATCAAATCTCTAAACATTATTGAGGGCCTTAACCAGAAACAAATTATGACTGAGGCAATGTCCATGAAAAAATTACGACTGAGGCAATGCCTATGGCACGCTTTAATCCTCTTCCAAGGTATTACGGGTGTTAATGATGACCAAAAACAACAAAAATGAAAAACAATGACTGAGGCAAGTGCTTCAGTTTGCCCGTTACTAGATACGGCTATGAAATAAGCTCAATACCATTGAAGTATTTTTCCACAGTCCAGAGAAAGTTGGCAATTGTCTGTTACTTGTATCTTATCAGTAGGGAAAATACGTCCCAATTGATGATGAAGTGCCTAACCCTATGACGTGTTCTAGAATTACTTGTACCTTCTGATAGGATGCACTCTATGAGCTTACCTGTTATCTTTTCCAGAGTGGGCCTGGGTTATTACTCCACTCGAAAACGTTTAGCAAATAGTATAAATGCGTTCATTGGCCTATTGGTAAACTGATGTGTGTTGTTTCTTTTCACTGGGCTTGAAGGACAATGAGACTGAGTGAAGCTTGGTTCGGTGGTGGCTGTGTTCTTATTTATCCTGTCACAAAAAATAAAATAAATCAATAAAATGTTTTCTAGGTTCAAAATAGATTTTCTTGTTGTCAAGGACTACATCTGTTAGATGAAGCTTTTACATCACGACAACAGCATCTCGCGATTACTTAGATTCAGATTCATAGATTCATTTAGCTGAACATGTACTTATTTTGCTGATAAAACATGAAATTTGGCCATTGGCATTGTGTCAGGCTATACGATTTATAGAGCATGTAACAGGACATTCAAAGAGAAACCTTATTGGTATCACAAAATGGAAATTAGCGTTTTTTACACCCATTTTCAATTCTGGCAGGTAATTTGAGCTTTGATTTCGTTTTTTTTTTCAACGACCTTTTCCTCAAACTCCCTCATCACTGGTGTCGAATAGGATAGCTCTAGAAGTCTGTAGAAGCCTAACACACCCCCTGTTGATAAAAACTGGATCACTGCATAATGCAATTCAAGAACTTTCATTGGCTTAGCCACCATAGTATATGAGCCATTATACCATGCTTTACAAATATGGTAAGCACGTATGTAACTATTGGGGGCATTTTATTTCTACTTTATTTTAGTTTTCTATATTTTGGGCCATTTTTAATGAAACAGTCATTCAACTCATGCTTGTTGGATATGAAATGATTATAGCTAACATGGCACTACACAATCGTTGGCTATCTCTCAAAAATATCTCATATCCAACGCGTGCTAGTGGAATAATTGTTAAATGTAGGTCGGATATCTGTTAGAATACTGACCTTAGCCATGCTGTGAAGTGTAAGAACGGCTGTTGAATCCATAGCAGAGAATTCAGAAGTCAGACCTGAAAATAAGACGAAAAAAAAAAGTTTAAAATATGTGGCACAAAGAACAAAGGTCAGCTTGTCTGTGTCAACTAACAGCAATATTCA